GGGCACCTGTACTCTCTTGTCGGTAAGTGATAAACTCTGGGCTTGTCGGCAAGTAGCGTATGAGAACTACTTCTAAATGACAAGTGTCGTGCAAGCGGTGAGTGATAAACTCTGAAAAAGTTAGCAGGTAGCATATGAGAACTACCTCTAAATAACAACTGCTGACTTATAGCCAAGTGTGACCTCCGTTTTTACTATATACTATTGTGTTTTTAACAAAAAATGAGGTTGGATTTTTTGGTACAGATGATCGTCGGAAAGAGTTTCTTTTCTCTTTATTGTTTTCTTTTTTTTTTTCTTTTTATATACTTTCGTTTTTAAGTATATTTATCTTGGAAAAAGTGTTCTTTTTCTAATGACACTTTCATCAAAACTTAGATGCCACGAACAACTAGAAGTTAGTCCATTCTAGCTATTATCCAGAGGTTGCAAAATCAAGTAGCGAACCTTCAGACACAGCTACAAGAGCGTGATCTGGTTAAACTAGTTCGGCAGAATTATGAAAATGATATTTGGTTAAAAAGATTGCAGTTAGAAAGAAATAGATTAAGAGTTCAGGTTGCAGACTTGGAGACAATAAATAATAATTTGGAGATGGAGATTTTAACATTGCGGAGTATTTTAGAAAATGGGCATAGTTTTTCTTGGGTAGAGTTTGTAGTTATTCCAGTTTTCATTTTTTTTTTGTACTATCTTTTGTTTTATATTTCTAATAAATACTTTTAAAATTTCTAAATTTTGTTAATAAAAATTTTGAGCTTTAAATGATCAAATGTCTAAGTCTAATAAATTTTCAAAACTAAAATTTCTAAATATCTAAATCTAATAAAATTATCTAATATAATTGCTCTAATAACTAAATAAAACATATAGTTTTTGTCTATTGCTATTTTGATATTTTTGAGTCTATCACTAAAGTAATATTGCTTAAAATTTGATCATTGTTAGTTCATATAGATAATCTAATAAAATTGTTTGTATTCAATAATCTATTATAAATAGATCATCTTTTGTATCATCTATGCTGTTTCTACATATTTTCAATTAATTTCAACAAACATGTTTCAGTATTTTTCTCAATACGAATTTGATAGCAGTAGTGATGATAATAAAAATAATAATAATCATCATTACTATTATTATAATAATAATAACAATAATAATAATAATAATGTTATGTAAGTATATATATAAAGAAGAAAATACTTAATGATAATTAAATAATTAATTATCTATTAATTATAATATTATATTTATAGGTGGTTGTAGCAACAAGTAGAAAACCAGGCTGCAATAATTGCAGAGCTCAACCATATAGCTCTTAATCATTTGCAACAATTCATTCATCGGGAGCAAGAGTGAGAAGCTCTTATTGAAGAATGAGATAGGTATCGGACTTGGTTTGAGGAGCATGATGCTACTTACCGAGATTTTCTTTGTCAGTTCAAGGAAAAAAGAAGAAAAAGAGAAAGAGACAATAATAAAAGAAGAAAAGTAGAGGAGAAAAATGAGAGAGAAAGAAGAGGTTGGGGCATTTTTGTATATCAAATAGTTTCTCTTTTTATTGTTTTCTTCTATTTTTTTAGGATTTTTCACTTATAAATAAAAATAAAAATCTTGCTTTTTTTTCTCTTTTCATATTATTTTGAGTTTCAAGTTTTTCGTCTTTTTTTAGAATTTTCTCTGAAAATTCCAATTTTCTGATAATAAATATATATATATATATATTTTAAGAGTTAATAAATTTGTAACCACGGCTACTGTAACCGCATCCAATAAAGCCAATTAAATTTTAAAATCAGGTGTAACGTGAAATCATTGTTTTTTTAAAGAAATCATTAATAACTCGAAATTTTGACTATGAAACAATCTTTTATGGTCTAACAAAAAAAATTCCTTGCTAAATTTTGGTATAAACTGTGCCCTTTACCATTCCTAACCTCACTCTAACCCTAACCTTTAATTGTATTTTTATAAAAAAAGACTTATTTTGATAATTACGTTATACCTAACATAATTACGGTTACAATAACCTACAGTTACAAATCAATTAATTCATATTTTAAAGGTCTTTTAGTAATTATTATCTAGAAAATGGTCTTTTTCCTTGTCTTGGGTAGATTTTTCTAGACTTCCGGGTTAATTTCGGTCATTTTGGCATTTATAACATAGGTCACATGATTGATGCCTATAAATAAATAAACTGATCATTTACTAATTTCAGGTTTCTTACTCTTTCTTTTCTTAGTTAATATTCTTAGATCTTTCACATTTCTCTTTCAGGATTTTTTTATTTCAGGTCGTATATTTATAGTATTTATGTCAGTCTTGTTCTATTTCTAGCTTGGTTTTCTTCGAGTAGTCAAAACGAATCCGTCTTGATAGCTTGCTTTCAGGCATGTTGGCAAGTAAATTTAAAGTTTTCCAGGTCTTTTCTTGTTATTATTTCATTGTATTTATTTTATGCCGGCCTTCTTTTTCTACTCTTTTCTAGTTTCTGATTTTTGCTTCTGCTATTTTGGTTTAAACTACTTCTAATATTTAGATCTTGAAAGATTTGTAGATCTTTGGTAGCTTGGAGGCTTGTGCAATGTTTTGGAGCTTTGGAGAAGTTTTTATTTTTTTTATTTTTCTGTATTGTTTTGAGTTTCTTTTCTACTCAAGTTATTATTTTAGAACCTTCGTTGTTTGGAGTCTTGCTTGTTTTTGAAACTCGTCGTCGTTTCGAAATCGTGGTCTTGCTCTTGAGTCATCGTTGTAGGTAGGTGTCACTTTAAATACTGATCTTGTTTTTGTTGAGGTTTTATATATTTGCTGCTTTATATATATATATATTTTTTTTATTGCTCCGAGTTAACTTATATTGTTGTTCTCTTTTTCAGGTTTTCGTTGTCATTGTATTTAGAGTTGTCATTCGTTCATCCTTAGAGTCGTTGTCGCCATTCTTGAAGTTGTTGTAAACACTGCCTTTTTAGGTATTGGTTCCAAAGACTTTTAGTATTATCATAGTACATGGCTTTAGGATTCTGGAGTGATTTAGAATATATATATTTTGAGTCTTATTTACTCTTTTTCTCTTTTAGAGTTATACATATATTTTTTGAATCATCATTGTTTTGTAATCGGCATTGTTTTAAGAATCATTGTCTATTGTTGTTTGTTGTGGTTGCTATCATTTCAAGTATTGGTTTAGAGACTTGAATTGGCTTATATTGTGACTTTCCAATATTTCTAAAGTTTGTCTTTATGAGCTTATATTAACTGAATATAAATTGTTGGAATGATATATATATATATATATTTTTTTTTTGTCTTTGTGTTCCTTGAGTGTTGTACTAACAAAGATTCTATTTCTTTAGGCTTTTTCTTTTTTTTTTTTTTGTATTTCTGGGGTATTTTACTGACTGAGATTCCTTTTCTTTGGGGCCTTAGTTATTTGGAGTGGAAATTTAGAATTCAGGTTTCTATTGAAACTTGAAAGAACCGAAATAACTTTTTTTTTTAAGATTTGTTTTGTGGAAACATTTGACTAATATAAAGTTCTTTTTTTTGAGACCTTAGTTATCTAGGAATTTAGGTTTCTACTGAAGCCGAGAAGAGACAGCTTCAAAATTGGCAGTAAATAGAGTTCTTTGGGGTCGGGATAGTTATTGATACGTATATAACTTCCTTATATAATTTGGGAATAGCAGGGATATTATGAAAAGAATATATATAAGATATTAATTAAACATCTCTCTCTCTTTTTTTTTTTTTTAAAGACAAGAACTTGAGTTTTTTTTTTTATATGATTTAGGTGCTGATTTCCTTCTTTGGGACAATGATATCTGAGAAGAGGTGGATAATATATCTTTAACTTGTCTAATGGCACTATCACAATCCAATTCATTTGTGAACGAATGATTAATGGCGTTTGTATTTAAATTATCTTGTTTCTCTTTTTTTTCTATAGCCGATTTCGTTTAGGTAATCAACACGAGACTTTCAATTAAGTGGCTATTAGTTAATGGTAATGTTCTTTTGCCGAAATTTCAGAGAGCTAAGACTTCTCCGAATAGAACATTCAAAGTTCGATTATTGATACATGGAATAAAGGTTTAAATAGATCATCCTTATGATCAAAAGAACTTGAGGACTTTTGCCAGTGGAACTTCCAAAGTTCAATTATTATATGTAGAACAAATGGCTAGATAAGTAGATTCCTAAGAATAGGACCTTGTTATAACTAGAATGAGTTTAATATTAAAATTCGAATAGTTAGAAACTAATTTGAGAGATAGTGGGTTTTAGAGTTAAATAGAATTGGAGGTAAAAAGTAGTTTGGTAATTTTAGATAAGATTAGGTTTAAATGGAATGAATTGGGTTTAGTAATGGGTGAAAGATTGGGGTTAGAGATAAGTTTATAGTTAGAAGGATCAGGGTTTATGGTTAAGGTTAGGGAATTGAGTTTAATTTGGAATTGGGTTAAAGTTAGAAATAGAATGGGTTAAATTAGGGTATTAGAGAAAATAGGAACAGGTTGTAGTTAGAAATAAATAATATAAGGTTTTAAGGGTAGAGGTAAATAGGACAAATCTAAGTTTGAGATAAAATGGATTAGATAAATTAGGTGGATAAAAAATATGTAAGGTGAATTGGGTTTAAGAGTGGAGGATTTAGATTTAGATTGGGGGAAGGAGTTAAATAGGTTTAATTTGGAATTGTGTTAAATTAGAGATAGAATGGGTTAAGTTAGGGATAAGAGAATAGAATAGTTAGAAATATCGGGTTTAGTGATATGAATTTGGTAGATTTTTGTTAGAAAGGAGTTAGGGAAAATGAATTAGGTTATAGAAGTTTTGGGTTAAGAACGGATTAAATAGGTTAGGCAGGATAAAACAGATAGAGGTAAGTTTGGGTATATTTAGAATATAGGGTAGTTCAGAATGAGGATTTAGAATTGGGTTTAAGATATCATGTATGCGCATTGAATTTAAGTAATTAATAAAGAAATATGCCATTTACTATAGTAATATTATAAATGTTTACACGTGTATATGCTAAAAACTGAAAATTGGTCATAAGTTTTTTGCTTGAGTCATATGATTTAGATCTTCGTTTCGAAGATTTGGCAAGTGTCAAATTTGAGCACTTTAATGATCTTAAAATGTTTTTGCTTTGATAGTATCATATAGACTTCCAGGACATAAAATTTTTTGAGTTTATATTTACAGGGTTGGGATTATTTATACCTACACTTTGGCTCGTAGGTAATCCGTGCTTAACACTCTTGGTTAAAGTTTGCAGTAAGCTGCGAGCTATGAGTCCTTACACCTATACGTTTGGCTTGTAGGGTACCCATTCAAGGGATCTAATCTCGGAGTTGCAGTAAGCTACAAGCTCTGGTTGCTACAAAAGCAGAGGCTTCAAGTGGCCCTTCTGTACAAGTCTCTTTCAACTTGACAGGACTTTCCAGGTACTATGAAAGCAGAGGCTTCAAGTAGCTCTTCTGTACAAGTCTCTTTCAACTTGACAGAACTTCCAAGTGCACTATTACTCCTTTAGTAATAGGTGTTTACAAATAAATAAAGTAATCTTTAAAAGAGGATATCCAAGTTAATGGGTCCAATATTTTCAAGCTTCTTAAGAGATTTTTTTTTATAATTCTAGAGGAGACTTTTTTAGATTTTTGGTGGAGACTTTTAGAATTTCTGGGGAAAACTTTTAGAATTCCAGTGAAGACTTTTTAGATTTTTGCCAGGAGGCACCAAAATATTACAAGTGGGGTAGCCTTCTTAATTTACCATCTGCAACATAGCACATAGCAACAGAGATCTCTAAGATAATAGAGCAAGATATAAAGCAGTGTGGAAGTGAAATGTTTCCTCACTAGGGCAGTTTGGTATATTTATTAGAAGTATAGAGACATGGTTTACTTTAGGACAAAGATATGTTTATTTATTTATGATACAATGCCTAGATACAAAGCTATCTACAGGTATCTATTCCTATAGAATCCT